CAATGAGTTGTCAGTCCGCCCCTGACTGCGCTATATAAGTACCTGAAATAAATAAATATCAGGTGTGTGGCTCCACTTCTCCTTAGGGGAGATCATGCGCATCCTTCATTTTCTCTGATGAGATGTCTTGGATGAACCAGATGTTGATGTTGTTGTTTTTTTATTGATGGTATGTTTTTGGCTTTGTTCCTTTCCCCCATTTATGTTTACATCTGGACAGGGAGGAATGCAGTAATATCATTGTAGATTTTGTAAGTACTGTTCCATTTTTTTCATTGTCTTGGCAATAAAAGTTGTTTGGATTTTTAAAAAAAGAAAGAAAGAAAGAAAAAGAAAGAGAGAGAAAGAACAAAAGTTGCACTCTGTCGTGACCCAGGCCAAGTCAGCTTTTTTGTGGCTTCAGATGACAGCTGATACAGAATTTAGGGTTATCATCTCCCATGTAAGGCTGCTTTCACACTGATCAGTTTTTCTTCTGTTTTTGCATTAGAAAAGGAGGAAGAAAAATGCATGACCATGAAATTTTATGGAACTTTTCACACTGATCAGTTGCAGATCCACTGCCATTTTGTAAAATCCTGCTTGCTGCATTTGGTGCATGATTAGTGATATAAAGCAAAACACCAAAAAAGAGCACCTTCCCATTGAAATGAATGGAAAATGCATCAAAACACACAGTTGCATTTTTGGTGTATTTTTTCACAGGTGGAAAGCACACCGAAAAATGTGTAAAAAATTAAGTAAAAATGCAGCAAAAACACAGTAAAAATGCAGCAAAAACACATATACATTGTTAACACATTTATTGCAACAGAGCAGTGTGAAAGTAGCCTCATACATTCCACTTTTTATTTTAAGATAAAACCTGTCCCCTCTCTCCCTCGAAGGCTTTATTCACATCTGTGCGATTGTTTGCGCATATTTTACTGCGATTTGTGCTCATTTTCATACAGCCATTTTTAGCTTTAGCGTTTTTTATTAGCCAATAGAGAAAAATATCATCTGTTGCATCATTTGTTGCTAGGTTTTTCTGCTCCAGCTTTTCCATGAGCTTTTATTTCTTTTTTTTTTTTATTATTATTAATAATAATAATAATAATAATAATAATAATGTATTATTATTTTGTTTTTTGTTAGAGTAAGGGGTTAGCATTAAGGTTAGGTTAGGGTTAGGATTATGGGTTAGATGCTTGGGTTAGGGTTAGTGTTTTGTTTATTATTTTCTTATTATTTATTTATTTATTTTGTTCAGGTTAGGGTGATAATAATAATAATAATAATTAAAATGAATAAATAAATTTAAACTAAATACACAAATAAATAAAAATAAACATAAATAAATACTTGTAATAATCAATTAATAATAAAAAAACCCATAACCTTAACATGTACAGTGCACCTGTCTCCCCCACCCCCCTTTGCTCCTTTTCATTTTTCCTCTGATTAACCAAAGCTGGAGTTGCTGTTGTTAAAAAAACACAACTTTCTGACTCAGTTTTTATCAACAACACTGTTCAGGGAGGAAACTGACAAAAAGATACAAAGTAACATTGTTACTTTTGTAGCTGTTCTGTTTCACTCATCTGCAGATAATCTGCAGATAACTTTGATATGAAATCAGTTAAATCAGTATTAAATCCAAACCCATAAATGTAATATATTCCAGTTTACTAATCCTTAGATGTGGTGGCTGTATTCATTTTCTGCTTTTAGTCTTTTCTCCTCTGTTTTCACCAGATGATCTGGTCCAAAACACATCTCCTGTACTAGTGAGACATCACTAATGAGCACAGGGGCACCTTTGGGGAGCAGCATCATCAGTGTGGAGGGAAGGGAGTGTAAGATGTACTAGCAGATTTAAATACATTAACAAATTGAAGCCAAACTCCAGCTCACACTGCTCACACAAGCAGTTGCAGCAACAGTGTTTGTTTTTCTGGAATAAATGTTTTACATGAATAAATAAAGCTGGTCATTGTAAGCATCCCTCTCAGTGGTAAATGTTTTGTTTCAACACTCTAAACTGCTATATTTGAATGACAAACAGCAGACTTACTGGCAGAATCACCAGGTATACATAAAGACAGAAAGCCTAAAAAATGCAGTCATTAGGCCCTTTTTTATTCAGACAGATCTAGATGGAACCATATGTCTATGGGTGAGCAAATGGATGCGGATGATCATCAGTTTACATCCACCTACTGTACATCCATGCCAGTTCAGATCTGTTTTTTTTTTTTTTTTTTTTTTAAATGGAACAGCCAATGTCTAGATCTGTTGAAACAGAACAAAGCAGATGTAGACTGATGTAAACTGAACTGAAGGGAGAGGTTCCTGATGAGGAGGGACAGACTAGGAACATCACTGCCAACTTCACCACACCTTGGACTCCTCACGGTTTTGGATTAGTTCTTCCAAGTGCCTGTACAGTGCTACTCTGCCTAACAACCACCCCTCTACTCAGATGCTGCTCTGGTAAGATGCGCCTTAATAGAGTGACAACTTTAGTGTTTGAACTACTCCAATGTGCCGCTAACTTTGCTGACAACTTCTGTACCTGTGTTGATTATGTTACTGAGCCGCTGATACCATAGAGGTCCTTTCACACGGGCAATCCATTTTTTTTATCAGTTCAATCACGTTTTTTACAAGATTACTTTACAGCAGTTTTTCATCAGTTTATATCAGTTTACATCCGTTTTTCATATGTTTTTCATCAGCTTACATCCACTTTTTTTACATCCTTTACCAATGTAAAAATGGACCATATATCCATTTACATCCGTTTCTCGTTCGTTTACATCCATTTAGATCGGTTTTTTTTCACCCGTTCCGGGTTTTTTTTTTACAAAAGAAAAATAGTGTTTTCTTCTGTTAAAAAAAAGGATGTTAATGGATGTAGACATTATGATGATCATTAGTTTACATCCGCTAGTCCATAGAAATACATGGGTGTCTGTTTTTCATCCGTAAAGGGACACATGAAAAACGGACATATGGAGCACCCGTGTGAAAGAGCCCTAGAGGTTTATTTACTAAAGTTGGGGAGTGCAAAATCAAGCTCACTTCTGCATAGAAACCAATCAGCTTCTAACCCCAGCTTGTTCAATTAACCGTTGGCAATAAAGCCTGGAAGCTGATTGGTTTCTATTGAGAAGTGAGCTTACTTTTGCACTCTCCAGCTTTAGAAAATAAAACCCCATAGTGTCTGAACTGTTAAGCCAAGTACCTTCCGCTGTCCTTCATCTAACAAAATAATAATTGTACCACTTTACTTGGTCTCTGTTTGCCATTCTACCATTTTTGGTACCAACTAACTAGCCCCACCCACACATACATTATTTTTTTTTTTCCATTCAACCAGCGGGTTGAATAAAAAAAAAAAATGATTTGACTCCCCATCCACACACTCAAGGTGGATGGGGGAATCCTCCCCACTGTGTCATGTCCAAATACACTGATTGTGCCAAAATTTTTCAACAGCATGGCTGTACAGACGTCGATCAGTAATCAACTTCTGTACAACCAGCTTGCTCATACACGGATCAAAATTTGGCCAGTGCCTGCTGAACTGGTCGAATTTTGGTCCATGTATGGCAGGCCTAAATCTGGTTAAAAAGAAAAGGTGTGTTTTGTATTTCAATGTTCTTATTAATTTATAAACAGTTTAAGAAGACAGGAGCAACAAAACACGCCCACGCAGAGGCCATCAATTGCACATAAAAAAATAAAGAAAACAGTGCTCTAACACCAACAGAGCAAAAGATGTGCCCACGCAGGGGCTATCAATGGCACATAAATGACAAAAACAGTGGTATAACACCGACAGTAACTCAAACTAAAGGCAGCTATCTACTGCCACACCAAAAACAAACAAAAAAAGAAAAGGAAGGAGGAGTATAAAAGAAAAAAGATAACAAGACCAAGAGCAGGGGTCCGAGAATGCCAATAATGAGAAACATCACAACCCCAGACTAGCCAGGGGGAGCGAGGGAAAGGCATATTGCAACCAAGGCTCCATATTTTCAAGAATTTCCGTTGGGAGTCATTACAGATACTTGTCATCTGCTCATTGAGCATCATAGTGGTCATACGGTCCCGCACTCCCTGAAGAGGGACAAACGGCTCTTCCATGCCTGAGCAATTGTTCTAGTGGCCAACAGAAACAAGTAGGAAGATAACTTCTGCTGGTGAGCTAAGAGGCCCGGTATGGGACAATGAAGCAAAGCATACCGAGCATCCCGGCGTATGGAGAGATGAAACAAGGTGAAAAGGAGGCCAAACACACACGAGACCAAAAATGAAACAGTCTCGGACATGACCACCAGATATGCAATACATCACCACGATGGCTACAACCCCAAAAGCATCAGTCACTGCAGGCAGGGTTCGCCTGGGCCAAAGGAGCCGGAACCCAATACCAACGAAACATTACCTTGTATGCCACCTCCAGCGTGGTCGTATTGAATGAACATTTAGCTATAAGTGACCAGGCCCTATTCCAGTCCTCCAGATACACGACTGCCCCCAGGTTGTGCTCCCACTAAGCGACATATGGAAAAGGTGTGTTTTGTTTAGTTTTGTTACATTTTGTTGACTTAGCCTGGGTTCACTTACATGTGGTGCGGTATATCGCATGTTATTCGCATAGGAACCACACCGCATTCGTATGCGGTGTGCAGGGGTGGACTGACAGCTTATGGGGCCCCCTGGACAATTGGGGATCATGGGGCCTCTGTGTCCTTGCCCACACTCAAAACACACCCAAAAAAGCCTATAAAAGGTACCAGGGGCATTTTATGGGGCCCCCTACTGACCCGAGTGCTCGAATGGTCAGTCTGGCCCTGGCGGTGCGATTGGAGCCATACATTTTGTATGGCTCTAATTGCATTGCACCAAAAACGTGCAGGACCCTTTTTGGGTCCACACTAGAATCGGATCGCATGGGTATTCACACCTATGTGATCCGATTCTGCACATCGCACTGCGTTTTGCAGTATGTTAACTTAACATACACACCCGCAGCGGTTCGCATGAACGGGGTGCAATTCTGAAGCGATGCTGAATTCGCACTGAAAACACTGCAAATTCTGCACCGCATCAGTGTGAACCAGGGCTTAGGCTTGGTTTTCTCAATGAAACAAATATGAATCGTACAGGAGCTGCACTGCATTCTTGTGCGTTTCACATGCAATTAGGTGCAGCTTGTTTTTTTAGCCCAATCATTTTGAATGGGCTCAAATCGCACACACATCACCCCAAAGTTGTGCATGCAGCAATTCTGGAAGCACACTGCAACCAGATTGCAAGCTCATTTTGTTCCATTTGGTCCAGTGCAGGAAAACACACTGTGTTTGCGACCTGCGTTTGGGGTGTCGTTAAGATAGCACTGACACCCACTGCAGATTTCAATGTTCTCTTGCTGCCCCACTTTTTCTTTTCTGTTCATTTCCCACTCTAATCATTTGGTATATATAATCAAGTATGCAACTTGTGTGAACCACCTGCTATTCCCACTATGCTCATTGATCAATGTGCAATATCGTTCTGGTCTAAACAATTTATTACCCTATGCTATGTATGGTTACGGGATACCCTGTTTGCAATGCATATGTTATGTGTTTGTAAATTTTTAGTTCACTTACTTTTTGTGTATTTGTAAAACTTCTCTTAAACTCTATAAAATATATTGAACAAGAAAAATTGCTTTGGCCCATAGGGAGTGAGCAGGTGCAAGAGGTGAAGTGGTTAATGTTGACTGAGAGAGTTTATTTCTACTGCCCACAGCCCTTTGGTGAACCTGAAGCCACAATACTTCCAGCAAGATCACGAAGAATGTATTCTCAATCTCACAAAATGCAGTGTTTGAGCATCTTCTCCCGATTTGGGTTGATGCCACCCTTCTCCGTGTGGAATACAGGGGTAAGATAAGTATATTTACTAAAATTTTTCCACTTATATGCTGCAAGTTATGCACCCCTCTAAAGCATGCACACATCACTCCCATACTTAAAAAACTCCCTGCTCCTGTTTACCCCTAAACTCTTAGAACGCTTAGTCTACAATCGCCTGAGCTCCCACCTCACTGAGAACAACCTTCTTGACCCTTTACAGTCTGGCTTTCGCTCACTACACTGAAACTGCCCTACTAAAACTCACTAATGATTTACTAACTGCTAAAACCAATGTCCACTACTCCGTACTCTTACTACTTGACTTCTCTGTGGCTTTTGATACTGTTGACCATCCCCTCCTCCTCAAAAAACTCCACTCCCTTGGCCTCCGAGACTCTGCTCTCTCCTGGTTCTCCTCCTACCTATCGCAGCGCTCCTTCAGCGTTACCTATAACTCTGCCTCCTCTTCTCCACTCTCTCTTTCTGTAGGGGTCCCTCAAGGTTCTGTCCTTGGACCCCTTCTCTTCTCCCTCTACACCTCCTCCCTTGGTCACTTGATAAACTCCCATGGCTTTAAGTACCATCTCTATGCTGATGACAAACTAATCTATCCTTCTGCCGCTCACCTCACCCCTTCAGTCTCCTCTCGCATCACTAACCTACTAAGTGACATATCGGCATGGATGTCACTACACTTCCTTAATTCACAAGGATTGGTACTAAGTTCTAACAAGAACAGTTTCTTTTATCTATGAAAAGTGGAATAAATGGTCTCAGATTAATGTATATCATACAGGCATCTCTGGGTATCTGTCTGAAACTGACAGAACTGGTCCAACGTGTGAAAAATAAAATTCAAATATCTGGAAAAAATGTATTCAAATAACAAAAAATTATTTGAAGAAATGTAGAACATCAATTTTGTTGTCATAATGTGTTAGAAAAAAAAATATAATATAAATTATTATGCACTTATATACCTTTTGAACATTCAATATTCACTTCGAGGCTTCATGCACACTGGGTGTTTTATTGTGCATTAGCGTTTAGCGGTGTTTTCCCACATTGTTCCGTGTTTGCGTTTTTTAGGCAAAAATTTTTTGGGGTCAAAAAAAGTTCACAAATGCCAGTTTGCAGTGGTTTACCACGTTTTACTGTGTTTTACCAGGTTTCACTGTGTTTTTCAGCATTAGAGCGTTTTTACAGCAAAAAAACTCCTTTAGAAACCCACTAGTCCTGGTTTTTTTTTTCAGACAAAAAAGTCCCTGCCAAAAAATGTTGATTACAGTCCATGGGTGCATGGACACATAGGATAACATGCTGGGGGGATTACTAGCTGTAGAAAAAAACGTCAAAAGCCAAAAACAGCAGCTGTAAAAATGTCCATTGTGCATGAGGACTGAGTGTGGCTACATAACACCAGCTCTACAGTGGTCTTATTGGACTCCAGATCTCTTAATTAGAAAAGTGTCTGAACAGTTTTGTGAATCTGACTTTTTTAGCTATCATTAATAAAAAGAACAGGTTCTAATAAGAACTATGTGAATTAGGTGCACAGGTAACATGTAGCTAGATAACACCAGATTTCTGGAAAAAGGGCTCGCGTTCATGTATGAATCCTGTACGTTCCCATGTGGTGCAATTTTGCAGCCCATTCATTTGAATGGGCTGCACATTGCACCAGAACCCAGTAAAAGTAGTGCATGCAAAAATGCGCTGTACCAATTTGCATGGGACTGTGGTTCTGATCTGCATTTGGGATGCCTTTAACAATGCACTGGCACTCAGAACGCATCACAAAGGAAGTACATTTGAGTGCGGTATGGGAAATGCCTTAAATACAATTGTGAATTTCCCTATATTATTATTATTATACAGGATTTATATAGCACCAACAGTTTGCTCAGTGCTTATATAACTACTTTTAAAAAATTCACTGACAAGACTAGAAAGTTGGGTCTATCATTGACAGTGACCCCATAATGGACTGGTAAAGTAAGCTAAGGAACGTTATCCAATTGCTTTCATAAACTTCAGGTTACCACAATTATATGGTGACAGCAACATTGCTGGTGCAACACAACAATGTTATCATACTACCCTTTGTAATGACAGCATGCCTCTGGATCATGGTAACAAAGTTACATAATTGCAGAACCCTTTTTTTAAGACCGTATTTCCAATCTCTGAACTGTATTATGAATTTAAATCGTATTAACAGAGATTTTATTTTTATAGTACAGACATAATTCAGCTGACAGTGGACTTGTCATACGACATTACTTTGACATTGTTAAACAAGTATAGAGACAAGGAATTCCAACACCTTTCTGATGCTTATTCACAATGTGTCTGTTCTGGATCTGTGAATCAATACAGCCAGAAATAGCCAGGACACTAACATGAGGAACCCAACAATGGTAGCCCCATACGTCTGTCATGACAGGTGTTCTTGAGGGCATATAATTATCAAATGATTGTGAAAGGATATTAAAGTGGTTGTAAACCCAAAATCCAATTCTTTTGCACAGTTTAGTAGATAATGTTGTATTAATCTAATTCACATTGTGTGTGCCTCTCAAAGAGTCATCCTCATTCAGTTGTAGCACTCAGAAATTTGCCAATCTGAGGGAGTAACATAGCACCAAAGCGGAGGAGACTTAATGTTACACTTTTCCCCTCCCACCTAATCACAGAGTCTCTCTATGTATTCTCTGATGTCTCTCTCTCTCTCTGATTTCTCTCTCTCTGATGTCTCTCTGTATTCTCTGATTTCTCTCTCTCTCTAATGTCTCTCTCTATATTTTCTAATGTCTGTCTCTCTCTGATGTCTCTCTCTCTCTGATTTCTCTTTCTCTCCGAAGTCTCTCTCCCTGATATCTTTCTCTCTCTGTATCCTCTGATGTCTCTCTCTCTTTCTCTGTATTCTCTGATGTCTCTCTCTCATGTCTCTCTCTGATGTATTTCTCCCTCTCTCTGATGTCTCTCTCCCTCTGCGGTTTCTCTCTCTCTGTGATGCCTCTCTTTGTGATGACTCACTTTCTGTATGCTCCACTGACTCTGGGCAAGCTTTGTACCTGGATCTCCGGAGGAAAGAGGTGAAAGTGAACTTGGCTCCGATTTCAGTCACAGCTCACAGCGAGGTACAGAGCAGCAGCAGACACACCCCCTTCACACAGGCTCAGGTATGTATCTCATTACACATTACAGGCTGTCAATCAAAGGGGAAGGGGAATGATGCCAACATTTTTTTCATGGTGTCGGGTTTTGTTTAATCAGGAGAGCGGGGAAGATTACAGATGACAGGCTGTTCTCCTACCTGCCATACTAATGTAGCACCCTCCTAGATAGCTAGGGGGAGCTAGTGCTCAATTGTTAGACAGAGGCTAAGTAGAAACCTGTGGTGATAGTCAGAGGGAGATAAAATTTGGGTCAGAGCTGAAAGGTTCTGCAAGCCAGTTCCCTGATACCTACCCCTGCTCTAGAATCTTGGAGAATATTCTAGAAGCAGTTGGAAGGGGTGAGGAGGGGCTGTCCTGCACACTTGGAAGATCGTGGCCAATCCCCAAGCAGGAGGCTTGGCATGGAGCCAGGGGAGCCTTCAAATGTGATAGAGCCTGCTTAGCAGCAGAAGAGTTTGAGTGAAAGATTGAAAGGATGTGAGAGGCTGAGGTGCAGGAGCCTGGGAGGGGGCCCAGAGGGGAGAGGGCTCACCTTCAGGCTGGAAGGGAGGAAATCTCAGGACCTCATCAGCCCCCAGAGCGAAGACCATCTGTGCAGCAGGGAAGAAGTGGCAGCAGAAGGCCTGAGAGCAGCCATTGACCCATCAGCTCACAGACAGAGGACTTAGTGAGTAGACCTAAACCCCCTGGGCCAGAAAGGGGAAGGAGCACTCTAATGAGAAACTGGATTAGCTTTCTACCCTGGACTGTCTTCTATTTAAAATGACAGACACTGGATCCCCTGCCCAGGGATTCACACTGTACAGCTGGGTAAAGGAGTATCTGGTGTCTGGGGTGGTACACATGAGATGCTGGCTAGCTCTCCAGAAGAGAATTCTTGTTGTCTAAAGAGACTTACATAGCTGCATGGGGATTGTCCTCAGTTGCCATTCCCTTTGGGCATCCCATACATCCCTCAC